ACAATCCCACAACTTCCCAGACTCAGGACTGGGGGGGGGGGGGGGAGGAGTAATCATGCTATCTATCAGACAGACTTCCTGAATGTCTGAATTCTGTGACCTGTGGATTTCTGCTTCTCCTTTATGTGCACAGAGAGACTAGTAAGGGAGGAATGGGACCCAAGTCCAAGCTGTCAAAAGCCGATGAAGAGTTATTGCCTGAGACTGCAGGAGAAGAAGTGCCAGGGAGGAAGGAGCCGGTGGAAATGGTAGTATTGGAAATGTGTGTCCCCTAATGCCCTGCAAATGCCCACAAGCTAGCCCCTCTACCAAAGAAGGGGTCTGTGACCTCAGAGGACCTCCAGTACTGAGGAGCTGCCCCAGTATGATGGGTTCTCAGTTGTGTTGGATCTAAAGGTCAGGGACAGAGGAACAGAGGGGCCATTTCCTTTCTGCATGGTTGAAACGTAGCTGTTCTGACTTGGATAAGAACAACAAAACTTCATGCTGCTTAAGAGTACTGATGTGCCACCCTCGGAATAGAGAAGAGCCACGGCGCTCCTCAAAAGGCCCTGTATTAGGCATTGGCTGCCACTAAGGTACGCAGAAGGTCCCAGTCCTATAACCCACAGTTGAACTGAGAAACTCTGGGTTCCCTTCCCTATGCTCCTCACCTGGGGTTTGGTTTCCAGGGCTTTAGCATGTGCTTTGGGTGTGTCAACTATTTTCAGGTCCTTACAGAGCTGAGTCAAGAGGTGATAAAGACTGCGGAGTAACCTTGCTCTGAAAATAAAGACCAAGCCGACATAGCAGGATGGGAAAGAGCAGAAGACCTTGCATCCCTGCCAAAACGGCTCTGAAAGGCTTGCTTGTAGTTTTACCTTTAAAAACTAACCCCGCAAAGGAACTTTTTAACTTCTCTCTCATCCTTGTTGTTACAGGGTATCAGAGACGGAAGTTCCTGGCTAGCCAGGACTTGCAACTTGCAATAAAAGAGTAACCTTGCTTTTGCAGTCTGGGTCTTCTCTGGTTCCTGGTGGTTTCTCTGAGGGTCGTTATCTGGACACAGCAGTCATTGGACTGAATGATAGCCTCGGGTCCCTTGATTCTTAAATAAGTCTGGTCGGTGAACTAGACCTGGAGGTACCTCAGTAAAGACAGTGTAACAGGCAGGACATATGTAAAGCCTGTGTTTTCAGTCTGGGGTCTTTTGATGAGGCTGAGAGTAGGAAGAATAAGCAACAAAAGTGGCTGATTGAGCAGACTCACCCAGCTGTCACCTCTTTATTTCTAGAGCAGGACTCATCCAGCCCCATCAGGAACACACACACTGGACAGGGGCAGGGTAGCCTTGACCACTTGGAGGGCATCAACATGGGAGTCCACACCTCCCTGGGAATTCCCTTTGCCAAGTCACCTGTCGGGTCTCTGAGGTTTGCTCCCCCTGAGCCCCCAGAACCATGGAGTGGTGTGAGGGGTGGAGCTTCTCATCTGGCCCTGTAAACATTTCCAGGTCCCAGGAGACTTCAGGCTCTGGAGTGGGCTAGTGTTCTGAGCGCTGCACCAGTGATGTAGAGTGCTGTTTTACTCTTTTGACTTTTTAAGGGGCCCACTACCCAGCTCCGAAATAAACCACACAAGAAGGTTATTCGTTATGAATGCCTGGCCTTGGTTTGGCTTTTTTTCCTGGCCAGTTTTTAAAAAGTTATTCCATCTACCTTTTGCTTCTGAACTTTTATCTTTCTCTATTTCTGTTTACTTCTTTCTCCGTGGCTTGCTGTGTGGGAGGGTGGCTGGCTCCTTCATGTCCTCCTTTCCTTGTTCTCTTGCTCCTCGTTCTCTCCCCTCCCAGATTTCTCCTATTTATACTCTCTGCCTGCTAGCCCCGCCTATCCTTACTCCTGCCTCGCTATTGGCCATTCATCTCTTTATTAGGCCATCAGGTGTTGTAGACAGGCACAGTAACACAGCTCACAGAGTTAAACAAATGCAGCATAAGCAAAAGTCACACAGCTGAAAATTATATTCCCCAACAATGGGGTCACCCTCCAGCTTGTTTTTTGCTTCTCCCATCTTATATTTCCCTCTCTTCACCTTAGGAAGCTGCTTCCTGGTGCTGAAGCTTTTCTAACACATCTTTTCTGGATCTCTCTGGACTAGATATTGCCTCCTGATTTTGCTGACATGCTGGTGGAGGAATACTTGGGAGACACTGAGGACCCTGAGAGTCTCCAAGTACAGTTGCAGGAGATGATGGCAGACTTCATGGTTGTGATCCTTGCCTTGCAAACAGCATGTGCTCAGAGTGACTGTATCTATAGGATTCCTCTGGGATGGGACTCTAGATAGTGGTAGAATACTTGCTTCATATGCATAGTGCCACATATTCAATCTCCAGCACTGTCACAAAGAAAAAAGAGTCCCGATTCCACAGGGATGTTTCAGAGCTGTGGGTCCAAGGACAGCCCTCTGGTGTCCAGGTCCCCATCTATGTCTTTATTTGTCTTCTGATCTCAGGTTTCTGAGGACTCTTACCTCAGTAAATCCTTATGTATTATGTAAGAGCATTGATGTGGGATTCCCCTCTGTACGCTATGAATATGTTTTATTACCATTGGTTAATAAAGAAGTTTCTTTGACCTATGGCAGGGCAGAATAGAGTCAGACAGGAGATCCAAACAGAGATAGAGAGAGTAGATGGAGTCGAGAGACACCTTGTAGCTGCCAAAGGAGACAGATGCCAGAGCCTTACCGGTAAGCCACAACAGTCTCGTGGCGATACATAAATTAATATAAATTGGTTAATCTAAGTTGTAAAGCTACCTAGAAATATACCTGAGTCATTGGTCAAGCAGTGTTGTAATTCATATAGTTTCTGTGTAATTATCCAGATAAGGGTAGCCAGCAAACAAAAGAACAGTCTCCGAGTCTCTGTTTACAGAGCATGACACCTCTTCCATGCCCAGATGAGAAAAGTGACGTAATGATGCTCCAGGACGTCTTCAAACTACTCAAGGCCACGATTTAACCAAGGACTTTCCCGAGGCTCATGCTTCAGCCTTGGAGTCCTCATTCCCATAAACTTCCAACCGTTGTGACAACATTAGGTAAGGGTATCTTATACAAAAGATGAGGCAGGCCGGGTCCAGGGGAGAGGCTACTCTGTACCATGTGCCCACACTTCCAGGTCCCTTTGCCCTTGCCTATTCCAGCACCCACCCAACTTCAAAGATCAGGCCACCCCATGTGAAGGCCGGTCATGGTGATGACATTTTCTTTGTCTTTGGATCCTCATTCTGGGGCAGAAAATATGAGTTTTCTATTTTTTCTATGCACAGGATGGGGATTCAGATGAATACCCAGAGGATGACTGGGCTCACTGTCCAACTGAGGAAACTGAGGCTCTTGGAGAGTTTCAAGGTCACCTTGTAGCTCAAAATTTTATACTAGGATTAGACTCTGAATCCTTCCCAGTCCAGACTATATTATCTGTCCCTACCATCACCCTGATGGTGTTGTCAGGCCTGGCATGAGAGAGGGCCAATTTAAATAGTGATGTTTCTTTAAATGATTATGCCAGAGCGAAGTAAGGGCCTCTTAACTAAGAGTAAGCTGTGCATGGGGGTGGCGGATTCAGTCAGAGGCAAGGGATGGATGGGAAATGGAAGATCCTGGATCTAGGCGGGTAGGACAATGTGCACCAGAGTCAGGCTATAGCTGGGATTGTGGATTGGCAGTTGCATGTGGTGCCGGGGACCCGGACCTTTGTCTTCTTCATGGATACAGTTGACTTCACTGATGAGACGGAGTTTCTGAACAGAAGGATGACGAAGTACCGGTCCAACTTTGCAAGACATGGGAGAGAAGACACACCCCTGAATCTCCCAGGCCCTCCTCCTTTTTGTAGTAGCCTCGTGAGCATATATAGATCCCTTATCATATGATAGGTTACTCATCAGTGGCAGGTTCTCACACAGTGGTCTTGAGTGTCCGTCAATAGTCATCTTCCTGTGACCTGGGGCATGTGTGGCCAGACTTCTTAGTTTTGTATGCCTGAGCCTGCTATAGAGAGAAAGGGAAACCATCCCAGATGGCCATACCCTTATGGAGTGACACTAATGGAAGTTTCTTTTTTGCCTCTATTCTGAGACTGTCCTCCTGTGTCCTTACATTTCTGGCCTGCTTTACCCACCATATTGACCCAAACTAGGGGATCAGGTCTGAGCACAACATAGCTCATAGTGATCTTCACCCTACTCTGCTGAAAGAGTGTGTCCACAGGAACTCCAACAGCATGGACCTGCCCCACGGGGCTGTGTTTAACCAGGATGGACAGTGCCTGCAGCTGGACATCTGGCCTACTGTGGGCTATACTCTAAAGGCCAACAGGATGCAGTTCTGGACCAAGAATCTGCACCATATGATCTAGGAGCTGAAGAAGGTTGAGAATAAGTGCACAGAGCTGTAGCATGTTATGCCCAGTAGTGGGGTGTCTTGAGTAGAAGTGGAGTCAATCTAGGTCCCACACACGCAGAAGAGAGGGCTGACTCCATCTTCCACGTATCCATGCACCCCCTCTTCATGGAGCTGGTCAGCTATACTTACATGTGTCATTGGTACCCTGTTTGTCTGGATCTTGTCTTGCTTCACATATTCAATAAATTCCTCCATGACAGTGTGTTTTTACGAGTACCAATGGATGCCAGCCTTCCTTTGTGCCCTAGTGAACCTATATCTATTCCTCTCATCATCATCATCTTCTTTTTTTTTTTTTTTAGAAATTTAGAATCCAACATGTAAATTTAATATGTAAAAGTGAAAGCTCCAGAAACACAGTCACAGTAAAGAGACATGAAGTTAAGGTTTAACAATATCAGCCTTTAAGACATTTTACAGTGTTAAATGGTCAAAACAGAGTGTGATAAATGAATAATAGATTTTGTGTGTATGTGATGCTACTTCCTGATGTATGATATTTCAGTATTACTGTAAAATGAGAAATAAAATGATTATCTATCTTAAAAGCCATGGAATGCTTTATGAATCTGCATGTTGTCCTTGCTCAGGGGCCATGCTAATCTCTGTGTCATTCCAATTCAGTGTATGTGCTGCCGAAGTGAGCACCTTTTCTCTCCTCTTTACTGCATCTTCTCCCAACCCTCTTTCTCCTTTTTCCCAAATACCAATTTTCTTTAAATCAATCAGAAGCTCTGGGCCATATTGACCATACCAGGTGTGGGTGGGTATTAAAGTCCTGTGTCCAACTCTTAGCGAGACACTATCCATTATCTAGGAGTTGATTATAACCTGATGAACAGCAGTACTGGACTCTTAGTATCGTCAAGATGCCATGCGAAAATCAGAATCAGCTGCAAGCTAAGGGTTGTGACAGCTGCGCGGCTCCACTACTAGCAAGACCGAGGCAAAGCATCTAATAAACTCAGAAATGCAAGGGTAACTTGTCTTAAATATGGATACTGAATATAAATATACATAAGAACAACACCTATGAATATGTATGTATTTAAGTATGCATCACAAATGGTATGGCTTATAAACAACAGAAATTGGTGACCAGATTTGGTCATGAAGTGCAGGGTGAAGATGTCAGCAGATTTGCCATGTGGAGAGGGCTAACTCTCCGACTTAAAAGATTGCCCCCTGTGACCTCCTTGGGTAAAGTAGACAGACAATGGTGCTAATAGCCTGGCCACTGCCGAAAGGACCCAATTCTACTATCATGACCTTGGACATCAGGCTGCCACATACAAGTATGAGCCACAGAAACTTTCAGAATATATCATCTAAGGTCCCCACATCAGCCAACAAGGTTGCTAACAACTGAAAGCCTTGCTGTCTATTGTCTCCATAGATTCTCACCTGTGATTGATGCTGTTACAATCCTCTTTTAGTTTCTTGCTGTCTGCTTACGTTAAGGTTTGTTTTTATCCTAAAGGTTCTACCAACTTGGTGAGATCCTATTTGCCAGATCACAGAAGAGATCTGTGAAGATGTTTGACTGTGGGTTATGTAGATGGGGTATGAAACACTCATCAGAAGAAATGGTCTCTCTGATCACTGCATGTAGGGCCCTTTGGCTTTTCACAGTTCCTGGCTACTTCTTGTTTCCTTCTGGAACCCATATTCTACTTGGTCCTCTAGTTCACTAATTTTCTTTCTCAACTTAATGTGGTCCCTAGATCTTGCTTTTAGCCCTCCAGTAGGAACTCTTTATTCTCTGTGTCATTACACAAATTGCCAAGCTGTGTTCAATCTATCTCTGTATCGCCATAAAATATTTTCTCTGTGTCCTGAAGCAACTGACCCTTTATACCAGAAGGGTCAAAGCTCCTTGCCTCTGAGTAATTTACCTTTCAGCCCTTCCAGGTTGGCCAAGTCCCTCTTGCTTCCTCCACTGCACTGGAGATCACCTATAGGCTATGATCACCTATAGGGGTGATCATTCTTTGCATTAACCACTGTTCAGTGCAAAGAGTTTTCATAATTGGTGCTTAAAAGAATTGACTTGAGTACTCAGGCATAGACCAAATCTCCTACCAACTTCCTTCCACCTTAGTCTCAGGGAACACTGAGGAGGAGGATGGATGAATAAAATAGTTGAAGGAAAGGGAGAGATGCTGTGAAATCCTGACTTCTGGACATGACACAGGAATTATCCACGGGGACTCACTACATCATTGATTACTTGCACAAAACCTGAACAAGATTAAGCTAGTTGAAATACTACCATGAAGGGGTAAGACGTTCTCAGGGCTCCATGTCTTGCTAAGGAGCTATTGGTAGTTGATGCCTTTTGAGGGAGGGAGAGTCACTTTCCTTTGGGGCTGTGGCCACTGATCAGTTGCTCATGCCTCAGTGGATGGTCCACTCTAATGTGCATAAGGACATCTCCCTGAGAGCACAGCAGGGTTGACCCCTGATAGTTTCACTGGGTCTGAATGCGTTATTGAGATTCTGCTGCACAAATACCTCTGTGATGTTTTCATCTCTGCAGATGCACAGGACACTGCACCAAAGGAATTTATTTTTGAAAAATATTTTTGCATTATTTTTGAAAAACTTCATCATCAAATGATTTATATGCATAGCTTGGTAAATTTGCATAAAATTATGATAAATATGTATATATATCCATTCTTACTTCAAATACAAGAATGTTTCATTTCTTGGAAAAATTTCTCTCATGTTCCTTTATGTTAATCATTGCCTGGTCAGTGTTCCCTGGTAACCTCGTGACTGCTTTCTAATGGAATACTTTGGAAATTGCATATTATTTAGAAACATCAGAGTCCTGACTATTCTGTCATGGAAAAGAACTCAATTTGTAACTGGCTCTGTTACTAAATTCAATGTCTTTGAGATTCAAGTGGTGCTGATTTGGCCAATAGCCAGGCAGAATAGAGTCAGGTAGGAAATTCAAACAGAGATATAGGGAGAAAAAGGGCAGAGTCGAGGAGATGCCAGCAGCTGTCAGGGAATCAAGATGTGAGTTAATAAGTTACGAACTTCATGGTAAAATATAGACTAGTAGAAACGTGTTAATTTAACTTGTAAGAACTAGTTAATAATAAGCCTGAGCTAATAGGACAAACAGTTTGTAATTAATATTAAGGCTTAGAGTGGTTCTTTGGGAATTGGCAGGCAGGAGAGAAACCTTCAGTTACTGTTGTGTCTTCAGCGATAGTCTTGCCATCTAATTTATGGTTTACCCCATGACTCCTTAATTCTGGTGGGCAACTGTGCTGGCTGCTTTTTGTCAGATAGACACAAACCTAGACATCACTGGGAAGAGGGACTCTCAGTTGCGGAATTGCCTTCATCAGACTGGCCTGTAGGCAAATCTGTGAAATATTTTCTTGATAATGACTAATTTGGGCAGTGCCACCCCTGGGCAGATGGTCCTGGATTGTATGAGAAAGCAGATTGCCAAACCATGAACAGTAAGCTGGCAAGCAGCTTCTCCATGGTTTCTACCTCTGTTCATGTTTGTTCTTGGTATCTCCGACCAACAATTCACAGGGAAGTATGGCATGCTTACAACTGAGATCTTCATTTAACAACCCCTGTCTTCTAGAGTAAGTACTGTCTACGCATGCAACTACCCGAAGGTACACAACATATTTTACCCACTTTCTAGCTAACACAAATCTGTGTGGTCCGTTTTTTGATTACTTTTAATCAAGCTCTTTAAAACGTTTTTCAAACCTAGGTTTTGTGATTGGAACTTTCATTTCAGAGGGATACAGAGCTAGGGCAAGTATGTGTTTAACGTTTGAAGAAAATGCTAAACTGTCTTCCAAATGATCATACAGTTTTGCATGTCTTCCACCCTTGTGTGAGGGTGTCAGTGATTCCATGTCCTTGCCAACATTTGGTCTATGAGTCTTAAATCTGAATGGGTATGACAGAAACTCATTGCATGTATTTCTATTAAGTTTAGGAATTTCTCTCTCTCTCTCTCTCTCTCTCTCTCTCTCTCTCTCTCTCTCTCTCTCTCTCACACACACACACACACACACACACACACACATTCCTCCCTTACTTTTGGGCTCTCACCACAGATATACATTCAAGAGTCATCTTTATTTGACCTTTGTATTAGGGCCTTCACCACCATTGGCACAAAGTTTTTGAGTGATGGTCTGACAAATGGCAGAGAACATGGGCTTTCCCACAGCTGAGCAGAAAAAAAAATCTCAGATTAAGAAGAAGTATCAGGATATCTAGGAAACATGATGAAGCTAGTTCCTTGACTCCAAGAATAGCGTAACTGGAGACTTCTCAGCCCCACAACCCAGCAGTTCCTTGGGTGAGGAAATTTAGAGTAAAGGCAGCATCTTCCAGAGAGGAGACCATGAACTGGATGAGAGTGCAGGGGAGTGGCTACTGTGAAATGAAGGCTAGCCTTGATGATGAGAGGAGGCAAGAAACTGTGACTATGCCATGCTAGGGAAAGAGAAACAAGAAGGAAGTCTTTGTGCTAGGCTGTAGGTGCCTAAGACTATTAAGACCTGGAAATATAGAACCAAGGCCAATTCTCAGACAGCGGTACAGACTGGCACTGATACCTACACCACATCCTCCAAGAGGTTAGGCTAACATAGACAAGAATAATGGGCTAATATAAGTTATAAGAGTTAGTAAGAAGTCTGAGCTACTAGGCTAATTATTTTAGAACTAATGTAGACCTCTGTGTGATTTCTTTGGGACTTAATGACTGTGGGAACTGGGCAGGACAGAAAACTCAGTCAACAAATGGTGCCCACATGGACACCTGCATCCACATAAAGCCTGAGAAAGCTTGGGACGTTATTCTAGACATAAAATAATAGAGTTAAGCACAGCTTATTGATAGCAGCACTTTCTTAAGTGGGCTCTGCTTGCTAGAGGCAAGTGTTCTCATTTAAGAGAGGCTTCCTGACTCAGCTTTAGCTGTAAAACCTTGCAGCTCTTTTAAGAGGTTCGGCCACGAAACACTTAAATGGTGTTGATGAAAAGATGAACGCATGCTTTTTGGTTTTCAGCCATAGCAGGAAAAAACCTGTACCATTTTAAAATGCTGACTTTCTGGGCTATTCTGCCAGCACAAACTCCGACTCTTTCAGGCAGGAGGTATGGCTATGAAGCATTTGGGTGTAGTTTGTGAACACACTACTGAAGCTTGCTTGGTGGCAGGGACCATAGAATTGTGGCAATAAACAAGGCTACAGCCGGCACCTCTGCCATGAGGCTGGAATCTCAGAAAGCTAAAGAATGGGCTGGATCTAGCCTTCAAAGTCACAGCTTTAATCCTCTCCATATGGTTTAGCAAATTAAAGACTCACATGGTCAGAAAAGGAGAGATAAACAGTAAAGACTGATTCAAAGACAAAGAAAACCTCTAAATGGTTTACAGTGTGTTTAAAAATATATGCAAGCTTGGGAGAGTTAAAAAAAGGCTAAAGTCCTTAAAATAAAAAATAAAGAGAGTAGTTGGGTGTGGTGGTACACACTTTCAATCCCAACACTTGGGAGACAGCCACAGGCAGACCTCTATGAATTCAAGGTGTGGTGGCATACACCTTTAATCCCAGCACTTGGGAGGCAGAGGCAGGTAGATCTCT